TCAGCATGCACTACTCTGGGTCCAAATGTTAACCAGATGTCATACGGAAGAGCCTCTCCATGGAAGCAATCTCATCCTGAGCAAACCCCAGTATGGTCCAACCTCACGTTATGCAAACCTATATGTGTTTGGAACCCATAGAAGCAAGACTCACTTTATGGAAACCATTCTGCTTGAGTTATGCATTGAAACAACAGTTAAACCTCTCTTTGAGGAAAACCATTAACCTTGCTTACTGGAAAGATATTATACCCCAGCCCCCTTTATGGAGAGCTATTACAGTTGACCTTCACATTGTGGAAAGAACTGTAGCTTTGTGGAAATCCATTAAGCAAACAATAGAGCCTCACTTTAGTCCAGTGGTTCTCAACCTTCCTAATGCCACGACCCTTTAATACAGTTCCTCATGTTGTGGTGACCCCCAATTTCATTGTTACAAACTGAACATAATTAAAGCATAGTGATTAGTCACAAAAACAATATGTAATTATATATGTGTTTTCCAATGGTCTTAGGCGACCCCTGTGAAAGGGTCGTTCGACCCCCCAAGGGGTCGAGACCCACAGGTTGAGAACCGCTGCTTTAGTCAATCTTGCAGGGAAGCCTCATTTTAAGTCTGATTATATACAATAGCCTGATAAAGGCAGGGCACACACTTCCTTCTCAGTATGTTGTACCTTACACTGAAATTCTGGGTGCTGAGAGCTACCTGAGGTTATTTCGGGGACCCCATACACCGCTTGGCCTGAGGTCTGGTCCAGGTGAGTCAGTGAGGGCAGGCCTGGGTGGGGCAGGAGGAGGGAGATCGGCCTCACCTCGCACTGATGCATTAGCTGGACCAAGGAGTCCCCGATGAAGACGACTTCGGGTTCTTTATCTTTGCTGTCAGCCACGAACCGATGGTGCTTCGGGGACAAACACGGGGGAGTTATGGCACGCTCGCTCCCGGGGCCGTCAGACAGCACCACCCCACCCCACTGCCCTCAGTTTCCCAATCCCGTAGTGAAAGCCGCGCGAGCCAGCTGAACTCCCGAGCCGCGGCCCCACCCCCGACTCCTGGTTATCGCGGGCGGGGTCGCTCACCAGGGACATCCAGCGTCCATCGCCCTGAATGTCCTGCACCGGCGTGGGCTTGCTGGCTGGGTTCTGCTCGCCACTCATCTTGGCGTCACAGCTTCTGCAGGACGAGAGAGCAAGGTCGGCCCGAGTGTTCCCGGAGGAGGTGGTCCGCCACTCCCACTCCTACCCCCAGGCAACAATGGACGGTCCGGACGCCGCACTCCACCGGTGGACGCAGGCGGATCCCGGGCGCCGCCTCTTCTCCAGGGGCGGAAACCTCCACTTAGGAGGGGAGGTGGATCGGGAAGCCCTGCTTCCCCCACGGCGGCCGCGCAGTGAGCTCGTCCGGCGCTTTCCGCCCGGGCGCTTTCCACTCCCGGGCCTCTGCGGCGGCGGCTGCGGCGGCGGCCATACTCGCGCACCTGGGATGGGGCGATGAGACCAGCCAGCACCCGGGGGCGGGGGCGGGGGGGGGGCGAGGAGGAGGGAGAAACCACCCGAGCGCGTCAGGAGGAGGGTGAAGTGCGGAAGGCCGAGAGTGGGCGGGGGAAACCTAGCGCCTTGTCTAGCGGGGAGAAACCATTTGCTGCAGGACGAGAAATGTGCGGAAGGGCCTGCCTACCTTCTCTCTCTCTCTCTCTCTCTCTCTCTCTCTCTCTCTTTTCTCCCCCCCTCTCCCCTCCCCCTTTCCCTCCCTCCTTCCCTTTCTCTCCCCATCCCTCTCCCCCTCCCCATCTTACTCCCTCAGTATGTCCCATTCACGCGGTGGGGAGGGGGGAGGGGAGTGAGTGGACGAGTCCATTCGTGAAGGGGTGGCTCATACACACCTGGCTAGGAGGAGACGCTCCCATTTTCTACTGATGTGGGGAGCAGGAAAGGAAAATGGCAAAAATCACAGGCTCAGCCCACCCAGCCAGCAAGCCCACCCCTGGCCCGTGTGGCTCAGTTGGTTGAGCGTGTTCCATGTAGCAAAAGGTCCCCGGTTTGAATCCCAGTCTGGGCACATGCTGGGGTTGCGGGCTCCATCCCCAGTAGGGGGCGTGCAGGAGGCAGCCGATTGATGTTTCTCACATCAGTGTTTCTCTCTCTCTCTAAAGTCAATAAAAATATTTTTTTAAAAAAATTAGAGGCTCAGCCCTAACCGGTTTGGCTCAGTGGATAGAGCGTCGGCCTGTGGACTGAAGGGT